GTCTGAGAGTGAAGTGCTCTGTTAGGAAAGTATGGAACAATAAGATGTTTAATGTAAGATGGAGCTTGGTTGTTAAGCGCTTTGTTAGGAGTAATATTTTAAATTCTATTCTGAATTTGACAGAGAGCCAGTGGAGAGAAACTAAAACTGGAGAAATATGATCTCTCCTTCCAACTCTCATTAAAACTCTAGCAGCAGCATTTTGGATTAACTGAAGACTTCTTAAAGAGTTTTTTCGATGTCCAGATGATAAAGAATTACAGTAATCCAGTCTAGACGTGATTAATGCATGAATCAGTTTTCCCGCGTCATTTTTTGGACAAAATACTGTATTTCTAACTTTAGTGAGCAGGTGGAAGAATCCATATTAAAATTTCTGGGACCATTTGAATGTTTCTGTTAATGCATTGGTTTGGTCTGAAATGTCATTCCTAATGGTCTTAAAAGGTCTTTAAAATGTCTTAAATTTAACTTCTTGATATCTGCATGAACCCTTTGTTATTCTTTATGCACGCTGTYTTAGAAAATCGCACACTACACGCCCACTTTAACCAATGATTATTTTTAAATTTGCGCTGGTATTTACTACTGGTTATCTGCCYGCCTCATAAATTGAGCCTTTAGTGATTTGATAATCCAATGAGAGCCTAAAGTTATACTAAAACACACATATGTTCCATACAGTTAACGCCAAACTGTCACTAAAAGCTGAAACAGAATTATTTGATCATATCCTACTGTTTGTTTTGTTTTTCTGATTTAGTTTGTTTCTTTCCCTCTGTCCCTTCACTCCACCTGAACTCCTGATGGCAGGAGATCATGGATCGTATCTACAAGAATGTGATGACCAAAGTCGAGGAGATGAACAGCCTCCAGCGAGCACTTTTTGTTTTGACGTACAACTACAAGCTAGAGCAGCTTTCCAAAGGATCCAGCACACCGCTGTGTGACAGGTATGCAGCTGAGATGTTGACGAGTTACATCTGGAGAACTACTGAAAGTTTACAGCATCTGCTTCTTTTCTTTTCTTTTTAAATCTTCTGCTCCGTTCAAACAGGCTGGTGTTCAGGAAGATCCGCTCTCTGCTGGGAGGTCGGATGCGGGTCTTGTTATCAGGTGGAGCGCCTCTTTCTGCAGCCACGCAGCGCTTCATGAATGTGTGTTTTTGCTGCCCAGTGGGTCAGGGGTACGGCCTGACAGAGACCTGTGGTGCAGGGACGGTTTGTGAGCGTAAGTTACAACACTTTATTACTTTTAAAACATTTTACTACATGTGATTTTTGTCTAAGAAAGTTTAAAAATCTTTGTGTACCTTTCCTACAATGCTGTTATTGCGAGTAAGACTCACCCCTCTGTGAACAATTGGCAACAATGAGGACAACGATTGGTTGTTACACTGATGGTTTTCTACAACGAAGAACATGTCCAGAGGGCATACTCAACTTTTTAAAAAGTTTTATTTATTTATTTATTTATTTATTTATTTATTTATTTATTTATTTATTTATTTATTTATTTATTTATGCGTTAAAATATATTAATATTTCTATTTGGAATGAAGCAGGTGTGTTTCTATGCTTTGGTAATCCATTTTCCTGAAGGTTTAAAAATTTCCAATACATTTCCTGTCTTTTTGATGTACCATACCATACCAACTTTATTTGTAAACCACTTTAAACACAGACAGGACCAAAGTGCTGCACACAATCATAAAATACTACACAATCATAAAATAGAAAAATAAAAAGTAGTAATCAAATAAAACACAAACAAAAACATAATAAAACAAAGTCAAACCTCCCCAGTTGTGATAAAAGCCACAGAAAAAAGTTGGGTGTTAAGAAGAGATTTAAAATCAACAAGGGAAGAGGCCTGTCTTATGTCCAAAGGAAGGTCATTCCATAGTTTGGGAGCTGCCACAGAAAAAGCATGCGCTTTGTCCTTGTCACACTCAAAAGCAGCTTATGTGTTAAAATGAAAGAAAACAGGAAGTTGGGTGATGGACTGGCAACCTGTTCAGGATGTGGTTCAGTCACTTGGTGTCAGCTGGTCTAGATCTCAGTCCTCGGTGACAATGAACAGGAAAACCAAGAATTGATCAAGACAATGTGGAAGTTCAAGATCTCCAAGTTTGTCTTTATATGTAAGATTTGGGATTGTCTTCAGAGGCCCAACTTTTCAAATGCTTTTACAGTTTTTTTTTCAGAAAAGGTCAAAACAACAATTGCTAAACGATGTAAATGTATCACATTACTAACGGCAAGTCAGTTCAGTTTTGTCACATGGAAGAAAAATCCTGCAGGCTATATTTAGCACCATCATTTGTCCAAAATATTTTATGTTTGACATTGTGTGTCCAGAGTTGAACTCAGTTCACCAGATTCAAATAGCTTAAATACTGTTATTATATTGATGCTGTTTTGATAAAGTCAGTTATTTTAGAAAATACAGAAACAACAGTGGTGCTTAATAAAAGAKAATGCTCTGATAATGCATAAAATTGTTGAAGTAACTCTAAAAACTAAATTTTTACTTGAACAGTTCTATTCGACCACATTAATAGCATCTAATTGCTAATACGTATGCTAAACTCAGTACTCATAAGAAATAGTAAAGCATTATTTGGCAGAGGTTACGAGTTGATGTCTCTCAGGGCTGCTTTCAGCACAGCAGGCTTTTAAAAGCTTTTCTGTACKATAACTCAACATGAGATGACATCAGTTCATCAACAGAAATGGCTGCTTTGAAGCATGAATGGGGGAAAAAAAAAATTGCTACAAATGAAGATTTATCAGCTGGTGATAGTGCACATTACTGAGCAGTTGCGGGAATTTACTAAAACATTAGAAAAAAGCAGTTTCCAGAACCTGAAAGCTGCGATAAAAATAGTGAGAGAGCACAAGAGATGGGGAAATATGAAGTGGCTCTGCTGTGTGGGTTACAGTAAACAGACATGTGTATG